AGATTCATGATGTGCGTGTCTGTGTAAGTTTGTGCGTCTGTGTATTTGTGTTTGTGTGCGTCTGCCAGAGTATTTCAACTCGGCAACCAAGCAAGCTCCGGCCCCGAAATTTTGCCAGTGAGTTTTCCGGCCGTATGTAACATAGAGTCGCAAAGCCAACCCTCACGCTCGCCTAAGCTCCACATACGAGCACGTGAAAGTTTTGGCGAAAAAAATTGCTAACTCAGGAAACAGAAAAGGTGGAAGGCTGGAACTTTAAGGGAATGTTCCCAGCCTACGTAGCAAAAAAATTCAAATTCAGCTTCCACGAGTGTGTGATTCTCACTTACGGGCAAATGAAAGTTTTGGCGGGGAAATTACTCGCTGAAGAGCCGGGTCGTTTGCATGGAACGACTGTTAAACGGAGGTTGTTCATTTTCTTGCATGCAAAATTTGCGATGATTTACGCTAGTAAGCACATAAGTTAGGTGTAAAGCAGCAACATTTATATAATTAACTTGTTTGCTTCAAGTTTCACACGAAAACGCACAATCGCATCAACATGTCTGATGCGTTCAGTCCTGGGGTTTACTTACTGGTCAGCTTAATTCAAGTAGATAATCTTCAGCAAGCGCATTAAATGGCGAATGGACCAGGTTACTATGGTCTGATCCCTGACTACTTTCAGACGACATGCATTTATACAAAGAAGTGAAGCATGCGTTCATTAACACGTTGATTCGTGGTGATGTGAGCTCGTTGACGTGGTTTGAATCCCCAAATCAATTTTTCGAAGATACGCATCAAAATGATGGTACATCACTGGAACTGTGTCACGTCTACTACTCGGCCATCAATTTCCGCGATGTTATGCTTGCGTATGGTCGACTTCCACCTGATGCGATTCCAGGACAGGTATTTTTTTCTTCATTTACTTGCTTGACCAAGACTGTCTGTCTGCATTTTTAGTCTCCGTGTTTTTTTCTCGCATATAGATATGGGCGGGCTGCAGCTTTTCAAAACAAGAATACAGTTTTTTTTTTTTTTTTTTGCAGTGCAAAGTATCATAATTCCTGCGTTAACTTTTTTGAAACAGTTCAGCAGAAATCCTCTATTTCCTGTCTGATTCATATTTTATAAGTTCGCAATAAAGTTACACTCTTTATATCTGGAAAACATTGTGCGAAGCGCACATTTGTGCTGTTCTTATGAGTTCTTGTATGTACATTTGGGTATGAATGAATTTAACATGAGAAGTACGAAAATCTGGAAGATGTGAAATAAAGCTATAAAGTTTTGTCTTACACTGTCCTCATACCGGCAGGAACAGTGTCACTCTTCGGTGAAACGACCAATGACTTCAAGTTAAATTTCAAACTGATGTTTAAACTGAAGTGTGAGAAAACTAAAAAATTGGGAATTCTTACTTCTC